TTTTTTTTTTTTTTTTTTTTTTTTTTTTTTTTTTTAATGTAGATTGTGCCAAAAGTTTCATTAAGGTAAAATGCTTACTAATGAAAAACATATTCATATTAAGTATTCGAATTCGTGATCTCTAAGTAAAATATATAAAAATACACAGTTCTAGATTTATCCTTAAATTTTGGATGGAATTTAATCTTTTGGACGAATTTAATTCTAAACCTATGGATTTTGAATCTTGAATGCACCTTGTCATATAACTTACACTATGTTAATTATACTACGTTAACTTATACTCCAGTGTTGCTCTTCTTTTTTTCTTTTTTCTCCGTAATCTAGATTGTGCCAAAAGTTTCATTTAGGTAAATGGCTTCCTAATTAAAGGCGAATTCATACCAAGAATTCTAATCCATAACATTTGACTAAAGAGGTAAAAATACTTACCATTTCATCATATTTTTATAAACTTATCGATTCTAAATCTGAATGCACCTTGTAATATAGTTTATACTATGTTAATATGATTATGTGACCTTGGAAGACATGTTTTATGTATATGTGTCTAGCCAATTTAACTTACATATCACACAAATCGCTTCTTCTTACATATTCGAGTAGAGCAACTTTCGAATTATTTTTTCTACTCTCTGGTAATTATGTGGGGAAAATGTAAGAACAGAAAAAGATTCATTTGTCATAGCGATAATATTATTTCCTTTTTATGTAATTCTAGAATCCATACTTATCATTTTTTGAATTACCTTATGTAGTAGTAAGTGGATAGGCTAGAAAGCTAAGTATTATGATGGATACAAGTAATGTAGAAAAAGAGACACAGAAAAACACTTTACTAGATTCAATCATCACATTCCTTGGGGCCTATGTTTTTTTAGAATATTCGCAAGACATTCAGCACAATAATAATTTAATTAATATGATTTTTCTATGTCTTTTTTATGTCATTGTAAGAAATTTCGGCAGAAGTAGCTAACTAAAGCATGTGAATATGTCTTTTGGTTTCTTCTTATCATTTAAAAGTAAAAGGTGTTCTCATTTTTGTTCCTCTAAATTTGATGATACATTAATACCTATGTATATACAATACAATCTCGCGAGCAAGTTTTTACATCCATACATGTGTATCTAATTAAAATAATTTAATTAACTCATTGTGGTATTAATTAGTACTAAAAATACAAAGTGAGGTAATCTTAGAAAAAGGTTAAAAGGCAAACAACATAATCCAAAAAAAAACTCTTTGAAAAAGGAAAAAAATATGTAGATATAGAATTAAAATCCACCTCAAAAGGGGAAACAAGAAAATAAATCAATGTCGTGAATAATGTTGATGGTTACAAATCAAAGTGGTCCAAGACTCAATAGCATGGTTCAAATACAATCATATACACAATTTGGTAGGAACGGCAAATTCCGAAATATAATGAAGCATAATAGAAAAAAACTTACTTGACTGAATAAATTACATTTGTCTTCTATCTACATGTTTATCATTTGATCGCAATTTACTATACACTTGAACATGACAAATTCATGATTCAGTGTAGACACAAAATGTGAATAATTTTTTATATTTATTTTCGATTCATAAGATAATTTGTGTGCTATTGTTTACGTCTTTTTGGGTATATGTCTGAGCTTCTTGATGTTTTTCCTTTTGCATTTTCTTGTCTTTTGGAAGAGGGTTTGGGTTGAATTAAAATTTTAAGCCTTAATGGTTACGTCACGAATATTTCAATATCTTAATTGATGAGTGCTATTATTACTTGGGGATAAAGTTCTGCGATCCTATTTAAACGTTGAGCAAATATTTTTTCTTCTTCTTAGATTTTGACCCGAAGACAAGAAAATGAGTAGGTGGTGTATTGACTTATCCCAGCCTTTTAAAATATTTATTATTCGAATGGTTCATTAAAGAAAGTTTTGGNTGGGGGTGGGGGTGGGGGGGTTAAAATATGAGGGGTTTTCGGTATAAGAGAAGGGAATGCAAGAAAATTTATGTATTTGCGTCAAATGGAACGGCTGAATGCAAGATGTGTTTTATGAATTTTTATCATTTACCTAAGTTGAATATGTAGTTTATCTTCAATTTCTATCTCCGTAAGTTAAATGATTTGGAAAGAAGAAATTGGTACTATTCGATGCCTAACATTTAACAGAAGAACTTAACTTATATATATATATATATGTGTNTTCAACAACAAATCACATGAACACAAATTGCACAACAAATAACAACTAAAATTTGATTGAACAATATTTTTAGCAACACACAAACCTATTTTCGGATTCAACAACAACAATCAAACAAGTATATTTAGATTTCTAAATTCAATAATATTGAACTTAAAATCAACTCTAACAACATTACAACAAACAATTCCTATATTAAACTTAAACAAGATTATGAGACAAATTCAAGAAATAATCATAAATGATAAACAAGAAATCAAACTATACAAATTTCGGATTCAAGAACAA